AGATAAATATATAAGAATAAGTCAACGCGATAGAAAAATTATATCAATTAAATATTTTTAAGAAATTTCACTCGTTTCTAGTATTTTAATATTTTTATTTTATTTATTACAAGAAGTAACTTAACGACTACAATTTTAAAATTTATAAATCAACATTTTCGGTTTTGCATTATAATATTTGCCACGTGACAAATGATAGTGAAATCATACATGTATATAGTCTTTCGATTCATCTCTGTGCTAATCGCTACGTCCACGGAAATAGTTTACCCCTAACATCTTTTTTTCTTAACCCGCCATCTTTTCGCGATCGCTCGTCCGGTTATATCGAAGATACGATGACGTGCGATTTATCGTTGAGTCTGGCCATCTTGCTCCAGCGAGCACGTTGCGTCTCGACGGAGAGCAGCGCGATCGCGGCGATTAATGCTTCCTCGTTTCTGAACTTGACCAATGGAAACTCGCTGACCGAGTTCGACTTCGAGGCTCGTCTTGACTCCGCCTCTGAATTACCGATGCGGTTGCAGCGATTGGTGAAGTTGATCCAAACTAAGGGCAACGATGCTTTATTTTGATACAACCTACTGTCCGTCGGATAGAGACGTTCCATCTCTTTGAGTCGGGCTCAACGAAATTGGTCAATTCCAAAGTGAAATTATATCGACTTTATGGATCGAAGTATTTATTTTGTATTTTTCAGCATACGCGTATTTACAATGATAGACCTGTAAATGTAATTTGCTGTCGCATTTAAAAAGTTTAAAATTATTGAAGATCCTGCACATACATTATGAATAATTATATGACAAAGTATAGATAGACCTGTGTGCGGTCACATCGTATAAATAATCCAATTTTACAGATTAGATTCGGATGCTTTTTTAAAAAGTCCAGACTAAAAACGATAAGAAACAAATAAATTACGATTAAGCGAAAGACTAATTTGTTACTTCGTAGTTCGTAATATTCTTAACATCAGACGTCACGTGATAAAACGTCTGTAACGTTCTCGTTACATATCTTAAATCGAATTGTTTACACACTAGTCTGAAATCGTAACGCGCGTGTATTTACGGAACACATTCGATATAGATAGATGAGTAGATAGGTACGATTATATATACATAACGTATACATATATATACGTGTGTATGTGCCTCGAGAAGGTTAGTCCATAAGGGCCAGGCAGGCAGGCAGGCAGGCAAGCGAGTCTCGCGGCTCGCCTCGCCTCGCCTCGCCGCTGTATTGACGCGCGGCGTTCAGGCTTGCGCGAGATGACGCAATCTCCCTCCCACTATGATTCTCTTTCTCTCTCTCTTCTCACCCTTTTTACCCCGGGCCACTCATTCCGCAGCTCAGCTGCGCTCCCCACTTGGGCGCTCCCTTCCGCAGGCGCAGGTCTTCCGCCGCGCACCTCGTCCCGCGTCCGGCGCCCACAAGTTCAATGCCAAGGTCAAAGCGGCCACGACTCGCAACCATGTCGGTCGTAAGTGCGCGCGATATTCGTTCGTTCTCGTCGGTTCGCTCGCGCCTGTTCCGTGTGCGCGTCGCGTCCGGTGTCCCTCTTTCCGCGTACGCGCTTCTCGTCTCTTCCTCGACGACAGCGAGAGTAAAAGACACGTCGCGCTCCGCTTTCCTCCCGTTGTCCCGCTGCCGTCGTCACTCGTCGATGCGATGTCTATGTGTTGCTTTCGCAAACTAGGTTCGTGCGCGCTACGTTCAAAAGTGCCCGTCGACGAGTTTCGCAGGTGAAAATTACGCTCGAATGTGCGTCAGATGTTCGTCGTCTCGACGACGAATGAGCAGACATTTTGAATATACGACATCCGCGTCGTAGTGTCGTTCGTTTCGAGGTAATTACCGTGCATTTGACGGCAGTACGGATATTTTAAGATAATTCACGCGACGCGAATATTTCGACGGAGCACTCTGTCTCTTTCTAAAAACAATGCTCGATGACGATGACAACGACGATGAGGAGGCAGACACGGCGTGGGCGTCGACAAGGAGGGATGGAGAATACGTAGTGCTCCGGGCTGCCGATCGAGAGCGTCGATTTGTGATCTCGTGAATCTCCGCTCCGCTCCGCTCCGCGGAAGGGAGCGGGAAGGTCGGCAAGGTCGTAGGCGCAGCGCGGTGCGGCGCACAGAAGGAACGGAGTACCACGGAATACCCGCGCCACCCGCGGTCGCGGAGGCAGTAGCGCGCGGCGCGAGATTCGCGTCACGGGCCAAGATGGCGGCGGATTTCGGACAGGATCCGGACGGACGCTGCGTCGCGTAGCGTCGCGCCGCGCCGCGTCGTGCCACGCCGCGCCGAGGTAAGCCGCATCGTAGTGTTGGATATACGTATGGTAGTATATCGCCGCCGTCGACCGCGCGCTGTCACGCGTTATCGATTTCGTGGGAGGTCCTCTTCTACGCGAGAATCGTAGCGGCTCTCTCAAGGTCACTCTCGTGAATCGCGCCTGACTTCTTCTCTTGGGGCTCGTCCTCTCTTTCCGGTTCCGCATTAACCGATCCTTCGTTGCTCGAATTAGTATCGGAATGTAATCGATATTTTGCGTATCGTCGCATCACTCTGGAGTATTTCCGCATATACCTCCCTCTCCCTCTTTTCTCTCAATACTAGGTTTGTAATTCACCTCACGCAATTGTATCTTCCTTTGAATTAGAACCGTCTTACTATCTGGACGAGCAAAGTATCGTTTTTGAATATGCCTTCTTTGTTTCTCGTAAATTGAAATAATCCAATTACTCGTCATGCGCCTTGGAAAAGTTTACGTTTTACGTCGAGAGACGAATCATCCATCGGACATGGCGTTTTGGTTGAATGAGGGTTAATTTAAGCGCGAGAGATATTACCG